TATATATATATATATATATATCTCATATAATAATATTCACCATAATATAATAACATATATATCATAATATTCTGTATAATATAATAATATATATAATATGATAATATAATATATATATCATACAATAATATTCACTATAACTGGAAAATGCAGAAGCTTATATTCAGGAAAATAGTTTTCTGCACTCATGGAGGACAGTGGTTCTCAGCTGGTCTGGCTATATGACCCACCATCATCATCCCTCAATAACAAGTCGCGGGTCAAAGAGATAATCTTATGATTTTACTTTCACAACTTGAACATTCTATCTACTGCTCTGCAATGTCTTTCCTCGTCTCAGCCCCCTGTGTCATGGTGCATCTCACTCAGTCAGAATGCCCATATTTGATTGGCTGAGCTGCATCACGTGATGTGATTCACTACCCGACATGCCTCTGCTGTTAAGCTTCGAGTCACGATAGTCACCTGCTCGCCCACTGACCAATCACAGCGCACTCTGCACCTCACGTGTTAACTGTACCTGCTGTTGTTATTGTATCTTGAAATGGTTTGCAGAAATCGAATTACAAGAACCGTAGCTTTCTAATGAGGTATCACATTAATACTCATGTTACAGGGCAGTTGTGTGCATAACACAAATATGCAGTTATCACTCTGACGGCCCCAAAATCCTTCAAATTTGCTAGCTATTGATATGATACATTTTGGTATTAGCTAATTTTTTTACATTTTCAAATTGATAGTTTAAAATACTTTAGAGACTTAGTTATTTTTCATAATTACTCCTGAAATTGTATTACTAGCTATTTTTGCTATATTATGCCTTTTTGAGCTACTGCACCTATCATTTTGATGGCCCGTTATTACTGTTTATTCAATCAATAATAAGCAGTCTATAGATATTAAAATAATATGTGGTATTTGCTCATAACCAGACCCGCTACTCATTCTCAACGGAAGCAAAGGATGACTAAAACTATCTTCCATTGAATGAACTAATTTCATACAAAAATGGCTACGAGAAACATGGGACAGTTGCTCACTCTTTTCTCTTTAAGCCCCACAAGCTGCTATGTTTGGCAGTGTCAGTCAGTTGGTTAGGTGGTTGATATACCACATTAATCCAAACTGAACTATTTCAACAACTACGGATTGTCATGATATTTTGGAAAGACATTGATGCACCCTAGATGAATCCTGACTTTGGTGAGCCACATCAGATATCTATAATAAAACTAAAGCAAGGATATTGATAATCAAAACCCAGCACTCATTTATTTTATCATATGTAATCATCTCTCTTTTTCTCATTACTGTGTGGTAATAACACAGAGCTTTGGTCAATCAAAGCAAACACACACAGAAGGTATGTATAAGACTTGACATAAAACAAAACTCCAATATTAGTAGAGAAAAGCACAACCAGATATCAGTCTGCACTGCAAAGCATGAAATCCAATCGCTTGAATGTAATTATTCTGCTGGATTATGATTGGGTTTGAATGGAGATGATTTGCTCACTGTGATGGGTAACCTATTAGCAAATTAAAAAATATATATATAGAAGTATCATTTTTCACTATAATTGTTAGTGAGCCGGAGCAGAGTGAAAGGAATAACACAAAAAAGTAAATAAAAATTGTATTAAACACCTCAATAAAGATTGTATTAAACATCTGCTCTTTTCTCCCATATTTTCTCTTTCTCTGAGTCTCTCTGATTGGACTGGCTTGACGTCAGACACTTTTTACCTTACCCCTGAGAAATTCAAGTTTAATCCTTTACCGCCCTTGATTCTTTTCTTTTTTTCAGTCAGTCATCTTTTTATTGAGAAACACATAACAAAAAATAGTTATACTTTATATTCTCTTATTTTTTCCAAACAACCATCCATTCATCCAGTGTAATCACTCTCTTTCACTGTCCCTTTATTACACTCAGAAAGTCAATAAAAGCAGTGCAATCATGTCAGAGATTAGCGCCTCAACCATAGTCTAGTCCCTGAGCAAACACAGGAGTCAACTGCCTGTGTGTGTGCGTGTGTGTGTGTGTGTGTGTGTGGTAACAATGTAGAATGTGTGTTTAGCACACCATAGTTCCTTCCACAAATACTTTTACCTGTGATAATGCTTTACTAAAAGGGCAATTACTGACTAAGGCGTGTGTGTATGTCTGTGTGTGTGTGCGCATATGTGTCTGGGAGCCACGTTTAAGAAGCCTAGATTAAACGACTAATTGGTAAAATAGTCGATAGATTAATCGTTTGAAAATGAGTTGGTGGCTGACCTAATACAGTATGGATTTTCTGCCCTCTGTGAGGTACTCCACTAATTCTGGCAATTCTACTGCAATTACTTTTGAGTAAAATGTTGCTTTTCTAAGGACTGTCACCCCAAGTGTGTGTGTGTGTGTGTGCGTGTGTGTTTTTTCACAGCAGAGGATGAGTCAGAGTGCAGTCCTTAGTGGGTCTGGATGCAGATTAAAGGTGGCAGCTGTTCCTTCATCTCTCTCTGCCCTGGGCTTACTGTCTGTCTTTTGGGGCAGCACCTGCTGCAGGTCAGCCCCAAAGCCCTGATGCATTTGGACACACACACACACACAGACTACAAGAACATCAAAAACCTACAATT